AGCCATGCTGGCTGGGGAGTTCTGGGAGTTGAAGTCCACCCATCTTAAAGTTGCTGAGGTTGAGGAACCCTGCTTTACATGAAGAAAAATGAAGGCAGTGGAAACTGAAAACGATGCCCCATAGTCTTAAAATGGAGAAGAGTTTGAATGTTCTAAGACTGTAAAACTTACCAAGTTTCACTGTGTAGGGAAGGAAATGGCATTTCTCATTGCAGATCTCCTCCCCTCCCCATCCCGCCGATAGCACTGTTCTCTTATAATGAAAGTCTCCTTGGGAAAGATTTAAAGTGTACTTGAATTTCCCAATAAAATCAGTGAGAATTTAGTTAAAATATAACTAAATTCTTATAACTAGCCTTACCTATCCTGGCACTCTCCATAGTGTTGGGCTATAATTCCCATTATCCTTAGCCGAAAGAGTAATATTGGGTAGCTGTGATCCACGTGGAAGTCATTGTCCGCAATACAGAAGGCACTGGCTTTGGAAGACTAGTTTATAGTCTAAGCTCAATAATGAAGATGGATGAAAAGTTTTCCTTTCTTTCTGCATTCTGCTGTGTATTGTTTATGTTCCACTGCTGGCCACTATTTAAATGTTAAACTATATAGAGAATATTGCAAAAAATTTGGAAACCATTGGTACCTCTGCTAAGTATTATTGCCTGGAAAATTATTCTGGTTAATCAGATGCTATTGAGTTACACCTGACCTCTGGAAGTGGTGTGGATGAAGCTTGATCTATCCCTGGTGACAACTCACAGCTTTTTCCAAGGACATTTAGATGATCTCTTTGATCCTGTCCACCTACCTTATCTGTTTGTCTTCTTGTTCTTTTATTTTCCACAACCTTGGCAGGCCAAGTAATTTTTTTCCAGTCCATCATCAGTCACATCAGATGCCCCAAGTTTCTGCTTGCTGCTCATTGCCTTGAGAGAGCAATCAGTCAATTTCATCCAGGATATATTGATTGGTTCTTCCTACAGTCCACAGCACTCTTAAGTAACTATCTCCAAATCCATAATTCAAAGGTGTTTATCTTCTTTCTCTTGTTCTTCCTCAGTGTCCAGCTTTCACAGCTGAAAGCTGATGTACCATTGCTTTAATTATCTTGATCTTCTTGCTTTGTCTCTATTAATGCATGTAAGTTATTATTTCTTCCACTGGGTTAATAGCGATGTCAAGTATTTCAGCCTCAAGCAAAACAATTTATTTTTCATGCCAACTGAGTGCATGCATTTATTCTTCCCAATATACAGAGGTATTAGGCCACCCACATCTGAGGTTCAACTATTTCAGGATCCCATAGAAAGAAATAGACTTTTAGAGAAGGGCTTTCAGCTGCAGTTCTGCTATCCATACCGCCAGATAAGATTCTGCAGACAGAAAAGGAGCAGAAGTAAGAGGCAAAGGTTGTGGTTTGTTGGCTGAGAAAGGTTCAGGAAGGTTCCTGAAAAAGCAATTTTTAAGGAAGTATTGAGCTCTAATGAATGCTGAGATAGCATCATTACTTGCATATCTCATTTCCAAATTTTCAAACTGGCCTCAGAAAAAGACTGTTTCCTTCTGAGTCTCAGTGTTCTGATTTTTTTCTTCCATTCTTTCTGGAAAAAAAAAGCTGAGATTTATTCTGTATTGTTTACACATTTCTCAAATTAATGCATGTGTATCTGCTGGTCCTCTGTGCCTACACACCTGTTTTATTTTTATCTTAATAGCCCTGTTACTGCTGAAAAGATTCCACTGAAGAATCCAGCATATTACCCAGGAGATCTCCCCAATCAAAGGGATCAAGAAGGAATTAAAAGGTCAAAATTGGAACCCAGGGACCCAGATGGCTGTGGTATTTGGAAATGTAAGTAATCAAAATTATCTCATATTGCTTTAATAAGAGAAAAATATCCAGTAATTAAAAATCAATTATGAGCAGCTGGGTTCATGCATCAGCTCAAATAGTAGAAGAGTCCTTGGCTTTTTCTAAGTAAGAAGTCTTTTCCCTCCAATCTTATTTTGACTTTTTACATTTGCACTGCGCCCAGTCCAGCATTACTCACAAAGAGGTGGAAAAAGAGGACGATTCTTACCCTTCCATGCAGTAGCAACCCTTCTCTTGAGTAGATATGCTGGAAAGGAAAGAAAGCAGTTCCAGTTTTCAGTTTCACAAGACAGAAATGCAACTGCTTCTTTGCAGTTAAATTGTTGTGGTCTTTGTGATTCACACACATGCATTATACATCTGAGCAGAGCTCCATTTGGAACCTTTTAGAACACCCCCCCCCCATGCATTCCTATAATCCCAAGGATGTCTTTGTGGAAGACCTGCCTTCAGAGTGACTTATGCAAAATCTTCCCTTCTTCTTTCATAGGTTATCCTATTCATAGATGTAACAATAGGTAACACAAACAGAGTTGCTTTTCTATCATTGCCATGATTTCATACACTTCAGTTGCTATACACAAAATCTGCCTAACGGAGGTCAGTTACTGGTCCATATGATTGATACAGCTTTGCCTGTTTTCTGATGTGCCCTCTACTAGCATGGAACTTCTGTTCTACTTCTTAGGGTGTGGGCATAAAACACCTCCATTGTTGGCTGATTTTATGTCACTGGATATTTTATTTTCATGACTCCCTCTCCAAAACTTGTCCTAACACACCCATATGCAGATCAGAAATTCACATCCACCTTAGGTACTTCGAGTATGAACCAATGCAACACATTGACAAACTTGAGCTCTTCATAGTTTGGAAGGTACTCTGAGCCTTCTAGGCCTGTCTCTGTGGCCAGACTGTCGAGGCCTTGTTAAAGAATTCCATGGCACACACAAGTGCACTTGCACTTTACATTACACATTTGGGATTGATGCCTCCGTCTCCCCATCTTCATCCTGACAATCCATATTGCTAACCAGTGCAGCCACATTGGAACAGTCATCCACAAAAAGCAGTGGATTCCATCAATTCCATGTGGCAATCCCATTTCTTTTTGTCACTGGGCCACAGACTATGCCTAAATTTTGCAGCAGCAGCAGGATAGATTCCCAGTCTCTTGGCAACATTTCCTTGTTTCTTGGATGAATCTGTTTTACATGTTAAAGCCCACTTCCCTGATGATCAGAGCCTGGTAAAAATCAGCTACATTCTCAGCATGTCTTGGTGACATCGGCAGCCGTGGTTCACCCTGTTGTTCTCTCTTGCTTGAAGGAAGTACCTGTACATTCTAGCCTGACCCAATTTCTTCTCCATTCATCAAAGTTATCTATCTATTTATTTATTTATTTATTTATTTATTTATTTATTTATTTATTCTCATCCCAAATTCTCTCCATCTTATAGATTGAAAGCTTTAATTCCACACCTCCCCACTGGGATAAAATAGAACAGTTTATGATTCCTGTTTGGAAGCTTTCCACAAAGACTTCTTATATAGCTAAATGGGTATCATTTCAGGATTTCACCAGAAGCAGCAATTTAATTCCATGCAATATCATGTTACTGAGGTTTTGGGCTTTGTCTTCAATAAAGTCCTACTTAGTCTCAGTTGACCTCACTATTCCCTTGAATCTACTATTTTGGACTTGGGATTGAAAGGGTTCACTTGGAGCTGTGCCTAGTTGTGTGGCATGCATGAGGGATAATGTTCCTAACAACCAATTATATAAGCTCCGGAAGGCCATGTGCAGGTTTGTGTCCTAGATGACATTTCACAATGACTTGAAGAACTACAGTTACTGGTAAATAACCAATGACCAATTGAACTCTATAAAGCAATATAAAGTTCAGGCATGCAATTTCGTACTGCATTCATGGCATTTATGAAAATCAAGTGTGAAGATACTTCACTGACTTTCGGTGAACCTTGCTGTGGACAAAAGGTTCACTAAAAACTATGCAACAATAAAAAGAAACACACATGTTCACCCCATTAAAAGTATGTGTTAATTTATTTTAAGAGCTTCATTTTTGTTTTGTGATAATGGAAAATTCAGCTTCACTGTTATCCAGACCTGCTCTTTTTCTTGTAATGTGTGCATAGGATACTGAAGATTATCTGCTAAAATCTTGTCTCCCTAAAAAGTATATGTTAAACTCAGCCTCTTTGGGTAATTGTTATAATTAACACAAATCTTTATTTTTGTTGTTTCAATTGAATGAGCCTCTCCTCTTTTCAGACTCCCAAGATAATGACAGATTGAAACTAGGAAAAAATTCTCAGTTCAAAGGTTGATCAATTTTGGTCTATCAAAGCAGCCCATATACAGCCATCTTGGTGTTCAACAGGATACCTACCCTGCTTAATTATGATGATTACTACTACTACTATTATCTTTAGTACTTTTCTTTTAAAAGAAAGTTGTCAAGTTTCAAAACAAAACACCATCTTCTAGCATTATTTTTATTTTCAAGAGTACTGCTGGGTCTTATAAAGGCCTAATAACGCACTTTTATTAGGGTGGAAATGGTTGTAATCAAGTCTATTGTTTTGTTTAGAAGTATGCCTACTGGCCTCGGAAAAACCTAAAAGTAAGTTGGGGTGACGGAAAGCACCTTTCCTAATTTGCTTTTTTGTTAATGGGTATTTTATCATTGGCCACATCTATGGTAGTGGCCATGTTGTGAATGCCACCCCCCTCCCGGCAAAGCACTTTGTTAGACAATCTACAGAATGCCCTTATTATTTTAAATTTCCCACTTGGGAAATTTGAAATCCCCAATCTAAAATATTTATAGATTAGAGTCACAAAGCTGTCTAATATGGTTCATTTGGAAAACTGACATAATCTCTTTAGTCGTAGAATATGATGCACCAAAGCCTGATGTATTGAAATGGATTAATTACATCACCCAAACCTAGCAGTGTTTAGCACAACACTGACTTCCTTGAATCCACTATGAATCTTTTCTGAACTCCAGCTGGAACCCAGTAGTGCAAAAAATTGTGAGAACTACCCCCTGGGGGGGGGAATCAATCCTGTAATTTGATGATCTTCTATAATTAATGCCATTAAGAATCAGTTGTGAAAATTGGATATTCCCATTATCTAATGGGAATGTGGAGGAGCATATGATTCAAGAGGTACCCAGAAAACTGCATAAGACTTGCCTTTAAACAGCTAAATGTCACATTAAACATTTAATACCACCATATAACATGACAAAACCAGGGCTGAAATCAAATTCTTCTATGTATGCTCAACAGATTTGGTAGATGTCATAGTACATGCTGAAAATTATGCCGCACATACCTGAAGAACTTTATAGTGGCTTTTTTGGTTCTCTGGGTGCCCAATTGCAGTGCCCAATTGCAGTGTCAAAGCATCTACATCAGTGTTTCTCAACCTTAGCAACTTTAAGCTATATGGACTTCAACTCCCAGAATTCCCCAGCCAGCATGCTGGCTGGGG